GGGCGGGGCGCGAGGCGTGTCCGCGGGAGGGCGGCGGTGCCACGGCCGCCACCGGCCCCAGCCCCTGCTCGGCCTCCGCCGCGGCCGCTCCAGGTAAGGCAAGGCGCTGGCACCTGCGGGAGTTCCGTGCCGAGGGGCGCCGGGGAGGGAGCGGTGCGGCTGCCGCGGCGCCCCACCCGCTGCTCTGCCGTCTCGGSTGCGGGCGGGCCCCTCCTGGCGGCACGGGGGCCGCGGGCGGCTCGGCCCCGTTCCCTGGACCCCGCCTTGCGTGCGCCGGGACCGGCTCCCCCGGCTCCAGAGCCGCTCGCCGCCCCTCGGCCGCTTCTCCGCCAGCGCCCGGCGCCGGAGCGGGGCTGGGCTGTTCAAGGCTATTCGGTAACAGGCTTGGCCATAAATGATTAACTGCGCGACCGGGGAGCCGGGTGTCGCCGAGCGCAGCCGCCCGTGCCCGGCCCGCTGAGCCAGCGGAGCGTTCGCTCCCGAACCGCCGCCCAGGGCTGTGGCACGGCGCTGCCACGCCGCAAGGTAGGCACGGAGCTCGCCGTGCCTCAGCTGCTGCTTCGGCAGAAATCCACCCATTTGACGCTCTTTTTTGTCTGTGTTAAGGTAAAAGACCGCTAGGATTACAGTTTTGTTTTTTTTGGTTTGGTTTTTTTTTTTTTGTTTTTTTTTTTTTTGTACTGATTTTGTGTTTGGTTTAGGGTTTGTTGGGGTTTTTTAACGTTTTTTGTCTTTTTTACTGTGCGTTTAAAAAAATTAGTAGGTATGGAATTTGTTGACAAGCAGTGGCAGCTGGCAGTMCTCTTTTATTCTCTATCAGAATGTAATGCCTCATTTATTGAGCTGTGAATTAGTAGTGTAAGCTCCTTCCCCACCTTCAGCCTCATCATTCGGAGATGTGAATCACTTGTACTACCGGATCTGTTTTCTTTAGGAGAACTAAGAGGCGCCACAGAAAATCCATCTGTTTCGTTCCAGGTGACATTCTGATAGATTGATTTGATTGATTTCAGCTTSAAAATGTGCTTCAAGGCAACTAATGATCTTCTGTGGGAATATTTTTTTTTGTTAACTTTTAAATTTGAACTGCTAGTGTATGCAAGAGGTATCTTCTTTCTGTTTCTTGGAGGTCTTCATGCAGGTATAATGTGTTTTCCAAAACACGGTGATTCAAGAAGTTAAACTAAAAACTTCCTAGACAGAAGGTGGAAAAGGCTGCTGCATGTAGAATGTTGGGTTAACTAGGAATGTGTTTGTATTGGCCATGAAAGAAATCCTGCATGGTAACCTGTTGAATTCCACTAACTAGTCTTCAAGCCGCTGTGAGCAGGACGCTGTGCCCTTGCCACAATTGTTTCTGTGAATGCAAAGTGTGCAAATGCAGAATGATTTCCAGGTCAGGACAGGTTGATAAATTTAGTGAGGCACCATCACAAACTGCTGGAGCTGAAYACTGCTGCTAGGCTGTGAGTGTTCTCTCACTAACTGTGCTAGGGAAGTGGAAGGAGTTTGGCCCTTTGAGAGCAGCAGGATCTCTTAAATGTAATGAGACACTAATCAAGATAAGGCTTGTACTGTGTCAGGTGCTGTATACCCTGTAAGTAGATAAGGTCACAAGTCTGGGAAATTTGCTGCATAAAAAAGTGTTATGATTAAGATGAATTAAATTAAGTAACCTTCAAAATGTCTTCAGGGTTATTCTTAAGTGAAGGGTCTGTTTCCACAGTCCTTATACCCAGGAAGATGCCTGATAAGAAATGTGCTTTAGARTTATTGTTTTCTCTGATATATGGAAATGAGACTAAACATTGAAATACAAGCATCTCTTTGTGTTGAGAGAGGTTTGGTTCTGAATATGGATCAGTTATTCTTATCTAGTCCTTCTTGCTCTAAGAAACGGAAATGAGGCTATGTCAGGACACCTTCCTGCTGTTTCCCGAATTTTAAGGAAATGCATGTCTGGAACTGAAATTGATTCAGGCCTGTTTTTAAGGGAAAGCTCAAAGTTTCCAGTGGCCTACAATGTGTTTTGTATTTACTTCAAATTTTCTCTAGCAAAGATGGAAGTACSAGATCTGTGCCTGACCACAGTTGTRGACAACCCATGTTTGGTATTAATTCCCACAAACTTTTGTATTTGTGTACCTTTTCTTCCACACACATGGCCTCTTGTCATGTTCACATTCTAGGGGACCGTGTTYCCTGGTGTGGTTTCAAAGGCTGCATCTTAGAGTTCTTTAGACACTGCCAGCAATGCGATGCAGAATATGAAAAAAAAAAACCACCTAAGCCATGTTCTCAAAGCAAWCTGCTGTGATGCTTTACAAATCTAAAGGAAAGGTCAAACTCCACTTTTCACTGTGCACTGGAGGACGAAAGTAAAGCTGTGTAATGACTTGGAGCACAAGACCCAAGGGCAGTGAGACTTTGCACGAAGATCTAGAGAAGAAAAATAACAGTTAACTGTTAATTGTAGTTGAGTTGGAGCTWGTATGAAGGATTTTATTGTCTCACCACTCTTGAGAAATATGACTCCTGTCTGGTGCTGCTGGCTTTTCTGTACTGCTCCARCACTTCAGTTTCTCTGTTTCTCCTTCCTTCCTCAGATGTTCCACCAACTTTCATCACAGTTTTCATCTTGTAATATAAAAACAAACAGTAGTGAAGTACCTTTATTTTAGACTGGGCCGCTTCTCCTGTTAAAAGCTGTTTGAAAGCAGTGCCCTATATCATTATGATATAAAAGAATTTGGTCCTGAACTTCACTGAGATTAGCAGGGGGCTTTGCACGTCACACCTCTATGCCCTGTGGGTTTCTGAGCACCTTGAACTTCAAGATATGCAGCATTGTTTTGCCTCTGCTTTGCATTGGCAAGAGTCTCTTTACAGTCCTCAGAACTGTAAACTCTTGTTTTGGAGAGCATGAGATGATGGAGTGTGTACAAATACACCTTGGGGGTATATTTGTCGTGGCAGGACTTTTGCTTCTGACATATATATGGAAGTGGCATTGCAGCTGCTTCCACAGTGAAAATTGTGGCCCTTGTGCAGTCTTGTAACRTGCCAAGGACCAGCTCCTTCCCTGATCTAATTTGATAAGGTGATCAGAAGAACCACATCAAACTGGCACCTTGACCAACGGTGTGTGYGAAATACATTGTTTGGTTTTGGTGCCATTGTGGGAGCACAAGGAATATAAATTTTAGGATGTGACAAGGAGCTGTGGAGTGGAAACTGACCCTTTTTGACTGTTTAGTTTCATGATACGTGAGCGGAACACATGGGTGAAGAGGGTGAGTCTCTAAGCTGTAACTTGTTTCTGAATGGAAGTGCAGTAGTTTCCTAGTCCTGAGTACGGGTTACAAGAAATCTGCTTTAGCTTATTAGCTTCCACTGTTATTCCGGCTGAAGGTTTGTCCACGTGAAGCTTGTTCAGAAACTAATGAAATCATGTGTGCAAGTCGTATTTTGAGTGTGTGTGCACCTTTGCATGTAAAACAGAGCTGAAGTGTCATTGCGGTAGGTGGAGAAATAAAACGTTTTTTTCATCTGGGAACTTGCCAGCAGATGTAATTGACTTTTTTTGTGTGGGACTTCAGAAACAGACTTCAAAACTAGAGTCTAATGCTGGTTTCTCAGTACAAAAGAAGTCTTTTTCTTGAATTGTCCATCTTGTACTTCACGGGCAGTTACTAAAGTGATTCAACAATGGCAGTGGTTTTASTTATTATCCCAATACAATTGCACTTTTACTAGATGTACCAGAAAAAGCTCCTGATGATTTTCTGTTTATACAAGGCAAGTAGTGCTACAGACCCTAATTAGGGCTTGGGAATAAAGTCAAAACTCTGCATGTGTTTTAAGCTTCTCTTGTAAAACAACAACAGCATAGAATGCCAGCCCAWCTCTTTATAATGTAAAAGAGACCAAAAATATGCTCTGCATGTACATAGTAGGAAAGAATTGTGGCATAACATTTTCAAAGCTTGTTCTTTTCTTGGTTTGCTTTTAACTAAAGCTGTGCAGTTTCTTCAAAAGCCATGAGTTACAAATGAATCTKCAATACTTTGTGACTCCTTGTCCTTTCCTTCAGACAAAAGGCCCTTTCAAACCATTGTGGAACAGTCACTGATTTTCGTGTGGTCATTCAAGAAAAGGATAGCGATTGGCCTTCATAATAGGCCTTTCAGTACTCTCTCGAGTGGTTTGCTGGCTGAAAAAAATGAAATGCCTATGGCAGTGTACTGTGTCCAGTGTTTAAATTACTGACGAATCTAATCTCCCAAGTGTCAGAATGGTTAGGGTTCAAATGGCAAAGAAGCYTCACCTGTTTGTGAATACCAGTATGCTGCTACTCAGACCTGGGGACAGATTCTGCCCTGTGTGAACTGGTACAGTTTCATTTGATTTTCTCTGGCTGAAGGTCTGGGGTTTTATTTTTTTTTTTGGTTTTTTTTAGTGGTAATTTAAGCGTGGTGTTTCCGTGAACTGTGTTTTTTAAGGGGGTTGGTGCTGTTTAATGTCCTGGGTGACGTTGAGCAATGTTATCTGTTTGTGCACTGTGTAGCCAAGTGAAGCATGAGTATGATTTCTTGGAAGGTGACTGTCCTTGAAGGTTGTGGGTGTGTTTAGAGTTGGCATTCAAGAAGCTGCTGCCACTGTTGCGTTGACAGCTCAGTCTCAAAGAGTTATCATTCTGTGCTGGTAAATCTAACCTGCCTGGCAGCATTTTAAAGTAAACACCTCACATTTGGGGGTTGGTAGACTGGTGTTTGTTGTTCCAACCTTGTGTAAAYTCCCATGCAAGAATTTATGGTGCTTGACTAAGTCTTACCTGGGACACCACCAAAGATATTGTTGATGCTATGAGACATTTCCAAATGGGGGTASCTCTTCAGGATCTTGGCTAATTTTGTTGGAAATGTGTGGAGTACTTGCCCTGAAGGCTCAGCCCTGGAGTGTCTGCCTGAATGCTGTGTGTGGTACCTGGCCTTCATTGCTGCAGAGGAGTGTTTCATGGTAGCAGATCAGGACTTGAGGCTTTCTCATTGGGTTAGGTGCAACTGCCAAGAAAGATTATTTGGGCTCTGGATGACTTGAAGCATGTACTCAAGCATGTACTCAAATGGTTGTTTCAGACTAAATTACTTAGTAATACATAAATCCAGCTTTCYGTGTATACTGTCCTACATGCATCCAGTTTGTGGCTTCCTCTTCTGCACTACACTTAAGMTATCCACTTTTAGTATCTAAATTACAGAGCTGTGTATGGTTCTCTGTATAAAATTAAATGCAATAAAATGGTTGCGCATGCAGTTTGGGTGTGGCGGTACTTCTCAGCTGGAATGTATTGAGAAGCTGTGGTTCATGCTAACAGTGGAAAACCTACCAGTCACCAGAATGTCATCACTATGGGATTTCTCCTTTCTGTGTTGCTGAGGAAATAGCTGTCTTATGCAGTGATACTAGCCTGTGTAGGATTGGATTTAGTGATCTTTAGGACAAGATCTGAATGAAATGTTGCCTTCYCTGTGTTTCTGTTTTCCATTAATAACTTAGTTTTGGCTGGTTTGTTAAGGTGCTGGCATGAAGTTGTGCTTTAGTGC